CGAATTGTGGTTAACGTATAGCATCGCTGTGTGATCCTTGTTTACATTTTGTGTACTTATTATTTATTAATTAGGGGATGTGTGATAGCGAGTGCAAAGAGGGATCTCAGGACAAAAGTATGAACTAGGTCATATTGGGAGTTATATGGCTTACAATATTATGCAATTTGTGGATTACAAATCTGAAGAAATCATCCAAATCGGACATTAGTTAAAAACAATTTATTCAGAAAATAAACTATTTTTTATAATTTGTACATGTTATTTATTAACATTTTTATATTAGAAACTAATTACATAATTATTACAAATACACATAAATTGTGACCAGGCTAGCGGGGTCAGCATTGGGGGTTGCCATCGTACTTTGAATAAATCTAATTAATATCATCTGTACATTCAAATGGATTATTACAAACAAAATCTACAGACGATTATCGATAATAAGCACATTGTGTTTGGGAGACAACCCGAAGAGCCGATGAAAGTATACGAGTATTTCATTTCTTGCGAAATACTTAAAGAACTGTTAGAATGTGTGAAGTATTTGCACGACTCGTGTCCACCGGTTATCCATCGGGACCTCAAACCGTCTAATGTTTTAATTTCACAAAATAAAAATGATAATCGGTTTCTAAAACTTTGTGACTTTGGTTCCGCCACTTTCCACGACATGACTTCCATGAGTCACACTAAAAATGTCGGAACTTCACGATATATGGCACAAGAAGTACATCAGTCGAGATATACTATTAAGGTTGACATCTATAGCCTTGGAATCATTGCTTATGACTTATTTAACTTGTAAGTAAATATTAGACTAATAACAATAATGCTTATATAATAAATTGCTAATAAAATAAAATATATGTGATAATTTATAACAAAAATTTTTATAGTTAGGCGTAATTTTACAGTATCACACATTAATTGTCATAAATATTAAATAGTTTTTAATTATATATAACTTATTCATAATATATTTTATTTGTTATTCTATCAGTGATTTTACTACTAGTAATAACCCGACGGAAAAATACAAAAACAATGCGTTTTCAAACAACATTAACAAATTGTATGAAATTATACCACAAATGTTTCAACCAATTGCACACATACGGCCGACAAGTAGTCAAGTACTCGACGAAATTAACCATTGGTCAGTTGCTAAAAATCTTATAACTGCAAACTTTGTGAAATTAAATGAAACATTAAATACACTTAAAGTTAATTCCAACACATTTTTTAATGAGTTTTTCATTTGTAAATTAAATGATACCAATGAATCCACTCTTATTAACCCAAGAAACCACTCACGTCACAACATAAGTCCACAAAATAATAGCGAGGTAAGTGGCTCACAAACAATAATTGTAACTAAGACGCGCTAGGGCCACTGTAGGGCCACTTTTGTATAGTGAGATTATATTTTAGTTATAACTAATGCTATCAAATATAAATCTCTCTATAAATCGCTATACATATACGTATTTATAACTCATGCAGTACTATTTACTATTACATTTCAACATGAAAATCCCTGATAATTGTTAATCATTAATATATCGTGTTAACATTAGTAACATTTTAACTAGAATTAAGTATGAAAATTCTAGTTAAACGAATTATTACTTCCAACCTAGCATCACAAATTTGAATTTGATCCCATCTTAAATTTAATGTTAAGGCAATATCTATGTTAAATCTGAGGGTAACGTTAAATCTATGGCAATGTTATCTCAATGAGTAATTCTAAATCATTAATAATGTTAAATCCGTGTTTATAATAGATTTATAAATATCTATATATTTCCAAAAATATAAGTACTGAAAAGTTTTTATCATTTACCGCATTGTCATTATCTTGTTTATAATTAATAACATTGTTTTTATCAATGGATTCTAAAATTATAATTACTTACAAAATTTTAAATTAAGAATCCTTATGCGATGGAAAGCAATTCTAACCATGGAACATCTACGAGTATCAATATTAATAATAACCAACATGTGCGTATCGGAAATGTGCTAAATCAGTCGACAACACACATTCACAAATAAAAATTTAAACAAATTAAGTTTTATTAATAATCTTACATCAAAACCACTCGAGTTAATTAATCCACGATAACATTAAAACTTGTTAATGTAAATTGTTTATTGAGTTTTTATCTATATTCTCTTAATGACATATAAATGTTAGCTTAATATAAATTTATGTTTAAATTATTAATTTGAATTTATTTAATGCAGTATTTAGTTTACATTGGTGTATAATTATGTTGCATAAATATTATTTAATAAATTGTTAATATTAGTAATATACAAGGATAATAATTGGTTGTTTGAAATAAAAATAACACATAATTTGTAACGAATTTTATTATCACAAAATTAAATTGCATTTAATAGACCTAGATATAATTAATCATATTTTTAACACAATTGTTTCTACAATCATATTGTTTTGTAGTTGCAATTAAATATTTCACAAAATTAAAAACTTTAAATTTATATAATAAAAAATTAAATTAAAATACAGATTAATGTTACATAACTTTATTATAACTCAAAATTGTTACTATTGAGACGATCGTAAATCTTAAGTCTCATTTATTAAGTGTACTAAAGTATAGTTCATGAAATAAGTCACAATCATAATCATAATTCAATAGTTAATGTTATTTCGAGTAATGCCAAAATCATAATGCGATTTACAAATGAGTTTTACATAATTATAAAACAATGTTTGAATTTAAGTATCGCATTACTGTTGTTAGAAAACATAATTGAAATTCTTATATAATTAATGTAATGTATGATTCACTTCAATATACTCCTAAAATAATATTAATGTAGATTTTAAAAATTAATTTAAAATCCTTAAAATTCAATTTTTATACATTATAACATGATTTAATAATTTGCGCGCATTTATAGCCCACGAGTATCGCTGCGGAGGCGGTGTTAGCGTTGGGTATAACGGGAAACACAGAGGCGTCGCAAACCCTTAGATTGTTGG